GTTGACTGGATGTGTTGAATTAAAACAGACACTTTCTCCACTGATTCATCTACACCTCATTGCTGGTTTTTAAGATTTTAACTGACTGGACACACAGTTCAAACAAACACAAAACGATGAACCTGAAACAGGACCGAGGAAAAAACGGCGTTGGGATTTAGGATGTGCAGCAAATTGGAAGACAGTGAGGGAATTATGGAGGATGGAGTCATAATTAATATGTTTCTTTCTGTCCCCCTGTCTTATCCAGACTGCGAGCCCGAGGACGTGTCTGACTGGTCCTTCGATGAAAACGTGTCGTGTTCTGCTGCTTACGAGGGGCGCGGAAAGTCCAAGGTAGGGAACTCTGCCAGTCCGACTTCAAAGGTGTGGTGTACGCCCTCTTGCGTGCTCGCAGGACTCTAGCGCCGGTCTGGGCTCTCAAACCACATGTGACGTTTCTGCCACCAGTGTTCGGGTTCTCCAGGGGAGAGGTCTTCCCTCACACCGCATCGTAGCAGATGCATGTTAGTGCAGTGTAGCGCGAGTACTCTGCCCTTGTGCTGCACCCGAACGGTGTCGAGGGTCACAGCCTGTTGTCTTGCTTTGCAGAATCGGACTGTGAAAAAAAAACCGAAACTTCAGTTGAACGAGAGGGTAACGCGCACACTGTGACCTATCGTTGTTGTTCTGTTCCCATCATACTCGGTAGTTTAACAAAGAACTAGAGAATGCCTCTCCTCGTGCAAGTGCGTGCACGCCGTATATATGTCCATACTAGATATTTTCCTATGTTGCACCCTGCTCCCACCGTAGAAGAAACTAGCAGAGATGCCTGAAACACACACCGCGCTGGAACCACAACTTCTAGCGCCAGGAAAGCAGAGCACACCTCTAGCTTGGTCTAAGCCATCTTTTTATTTTTTTTGGATTTCTGTCTTTTCAAACTCTCAACCACAGATATCTTTTTCTCAAAGGTCAGGAGCTTGACGACGGCAATAGTTTGACTCGTTTCGATGACACTCGCTCCAGAATCTCTCAGCTTCGTAGACGTGAGAAATGAGATATCAGCTACCATTACTATGAGCTATGTATAGCCGGCAATTTGAACTTTATACCCTGTTCGCACGCTCAAGACATGGAAGATTATAAGCACACCATTGTCGTATAGTTGGTAACTAAAGAATATTTAGTATCACATTTTGATGTTCAGCGCAAATGTTCATTGTAGTGTTTTTTCAAAACGATTGTGTTGATAGAGACTAACTCTGCTTCCAATACAGCAACCTCTCCGCCCTCCTACTTTATGATAAAAGAAGGAATAATTCTCTTCTTTAGACTTTTGTCCAGACTTATTCTGATTGTGGTGGGAACGTGTTACCAGTGTTGTTGTCGTTTGTGTTAGAGCTTGCCTTGCAGGTCTTGTCGACTCCTCCTCTTTCTCCTCCTGCCATACTTGTTATTTATGTATGGTTCAGCTATCAAAGTCTTGCCCCGAATTTGCTTAAGTGAAGAGGAAAGCGCATAATGATTTGGACCTGTGGTTGTAGCATTGCGATGGCAAACACAACCAAAATGGGTTCAAAAAATGTTGGTTACTCGCATATCATGCTGGGATGTGTGTTCGTGTGTGTGTGTGTGTGTAAGGAGGAGGAGGATGGTGACATGGGTGTAAATTAGCGAGACTCTGGTGCCTCCTCTCAGAGTTTCTCAGAAAAAGTGATCAGAGCAGAATAATAATGAGTTTATTGGACCGACAGCTGCTTAATACACTTACTCATATGCACATACATGGACATTGCTTCTGCGTCTTCTGCTGCAGACAAAGCAGTCATGTGACGCAGCCGCTCAGGCCTCCACTCTAACGCGAAAATGAAGAACAAAAAGAGCAGGGGTGTTTGGGGGAAACTGCAACGGCTCCTGTTTGATTCCAGACATGGGCCCTTACTGCATGTCTCACCTCATCACCATACTGGGCGTTAGAAACACCACAGGGTACATGTGGATAAAGAGAAAAATTGATTAATTAAAAAACAGAAGAAAATCCAAGTGTCACAATAGGGAGGAAGAGAGTCACTTGTGTCTATTAATTAACTTTTAGATATAATCACTGGCTCTTGGACACATTTTAATAAGGGAAGTTGATGGAAACACGCACTGATTCAGATGTTTGCTTAAAACTTGTCCAACAGTTTAATTGAAACAAAGCGTCTGTCTGTTGTTTTAAATCTGGAATTTATTCTTACAGGTTAACAATCTCAAGGTCCACTGACTCACTCGTTTTTGGAACTTTTGACCGTATCACATGGTCTTCATCTTCTGTTCAAACGTTCTTTTTCAGGACTGCTTGTCCACGTTTTCCATCTCCTTTATTTTTGGGATGTGACTGAACAAGTGAATGAGGGAGGGAAGGAAGTTAGGAGGGGGCGTCCTTCCCTCGACCGTTGCTTGTTTTTCAACTTGACCTCAGTCCGACCTGCGAGGTCGGCCATCTGTCTACTAAAAACATCCTTGCTTCACACCACCGCCCCCCTCCATCAACCCCCATCTGTCTCTCTCTCTCTGTCTCTGTGGCCCTGTCTCCATCTCTCTCTCTGCTCACCCTAATAAAGTCATGCTAACGCTTGCGACAGCACATAATTGTGGCTACAGCACTCATCGCTATCACTGTATATAAAATATACACTAGCACAACAAAGTCCCAGTGTGTAGTACAGTAATTACAGAGGGAACTTGAACTGACAAAAAATAAAATCTAAATTAATCAACAAAACAAAATCAATTAAATGAAGCCTAGCAGGGATTACACAAGATCTTCTCAGCCGTGTGGTCTGACCGGTCAATAATTATTTTAGACACTCAGAGTGTGCAAATAGTAATATGATAAATAATAAGGCAAAATTTGCAGCTGCCTTAATTGTATTCATCTCCTCGCTCAACACAATTTTCATCTTTTATTCATCCGTTAAGGCTTGAAAGCTCTCTCTGTCTTACTGTTATTACCCTCTGCTTGTTTGTGAAATGCCAGAGGAGCGTCAGTGGGCGGGGACCATTGATTCATTGATCTGAGGCCGTGCAGACTGCCAGCAGATAGAGAGAGCTGAGGGGGTTAAAATAAAGCGAGGTTGGCATAATGAAAGCCTTAAAAACACATTCTCATCTCCATTTGTTGCTTTGTTTCTTGCCATTGAGGCAAACAGACACACACACACACACTCAATGTCCCTGCTTAGTGTTGTAAAGACAATGGCGACACACTCATTACAGCTAATGCTAACAGTGGGGTTAATCTCTTCTCTGATTCAGAGGATGCATTGAAACACATTCCCTCTTTGCGGTTGTTTCGTTCATAATAATCTCTCATTGGCTGACTAGTGTCTTGTCAGGCTCAAGACCTTTAGGATATCATGAGGAAGCCAACTGATTGGCTGTCGGCTTGAAAAGGCCTGCCTCCAACAATGGCACCTCAGTAGAGAAGTGAGCTGTCCTGCCACCACTTCTCCCTGTACTGTCACTATTGGTTATTGGCCAGCTCATGTTCACACGATACTTTCATATTAACCTTTTTTTATTCTGTACATTCTGTTCTGTATTCTGGCTCAAGCTAATTAATAATCACATTCATCTTGTTTTGCAACCGAGTTATCTTTCCCCTCCTCGAAATGTGAATTCACAGCAGTTTGTAAAAGCAGACCAGACGAGTAATTTAAAACAAAGAATAACCAGTGGATTACCACAGTAATCCCCACCAAAAATAATTAATATAATTTAAAACAACATCTTAAAATTGGCATGGACGTAATGTAATTGGCAATTGTCTCTTCGCTTGTTAATAACTAATATGATTTGTCAATCAGCAACATACACACAATTAAATTATATCAATTCTTATGAAAATTAAAACACACACAATTATATAGTGCTGAATAAAATATAAATCTATACATTAGTCAATCAAAAGAAAATGACTTAAACATTTAAATTACCTTTATTGTTTGTCATTTTCCAAGGAAAAATATTAGCAGGTTCCACCCTCTAAAATGTGAGGATTTCTCTGTTTTATATCACTGTAAATTTAGAATCCTGCAGAAAATGATTTGAGTAACCAAATAAGATATAATTGACAGGTTAATCAATAATAATAATAATAATTGTGTGTTGCACCCAACAATTCTGAATGTGGATATTAAAAACATCACTTCTAACCAGATTTTAGCCAGAGAAATGTAGTCAAACCAGTATTAACATATCAGACCGAAGTGCAACCACAAGACATGATTCTTTATGAGCGCTACCTTTTCTCAACTAGGAAGAAAATCTCTGTGTCTATAACCTACCATTTTCAGGCCATAGGATGGAGAGGTCTGAATGCACATCTAATTGCTTGCAGAGTTGAGCAGAACCATAGGTACCTACAGCTGGACACGGTTGAACAATCCAGATGAGACACGACTAGTGGTGGAGGGAGTGATGTGGTGGCGTGTGAGGGGTTTATCTTTTGACAGAACATGTCTTTACTCTCTGCTTTGTGTTTGTGTTTGTCTTGTAGGAGCACAGTGTAGAGAACGGTGGAGGTAGCCAGGTGCTGTTGGAGTGTGAAGACTTCAAACAGGAGCAGTCTCGGATCAGCCGGCTGGAGAGACAGGCCCAAGACTTCCTCAATGCTGTGTTCCACAGAAAAGGTAGCACACAGTTTTCAGCTGATAACCCCTAATTACCTGCTTCTCATGGCCGATACCAATAAGATAACTGATAATTTCACATTTTTGTATTTTAAAAAGAAGTTAACCTGTAGTTTTAACAACTCTTTAGGGTTTTGCATAAGAATTGAATAAGAATTAAACAATAAATTATTATTAATATCAACCAATAAATGATGACATTTAATTAACCCAATAAATAATAATAATATAATGACAATAATTTATTTGCCCCAATAATTATCATGCATCCCTAGTTAAGTCAGAACATTTAGTTAATTGCTAGAGGAATTCAGTTAATATAATTGAATTTTAGTTTATTGTGTATTTCAGAGATGTATTACATTTAATTATTTTCCATCCCAACTGAAGTTAAACACAGTCATAATTAATATTTTTTTTAGAATTCTTTTAGGACTGGACTATGGAATTGACCACAGTGGGAATCATGCTTTTTACTGCTTTTCGTTGTAATATAATTGGCCATTGTTTTTGCTTTGTAAAATAAAAGTAGAGAGAATGTTCTCATCTGTATAGAAGAAACTTCTAGTTTTTATTTAAATTGTCTTTAATGTGTGTCCACATTTTTGACAATTCTGGCCTGCAAAGGTGTCAGCTGTACTTATACTTATATCTTAAGTACATTTTTTATTTTTTTTTGTCGGAGTGCGGAGTTGCAGCAGATTATTGATTACAAAGATGTAAACTATAACAGTTTTTCAGGTGATAAAACTATGGGCTTTGTCTGACTAGAGTCAGTGTTTCTGTGTACTTCACTAAGTTGTGGAAAACTATGCACCATGCACAAATTTAGGACCTCTGTACTCCTAATCAGGGACTACCCTTCTCTATTAGAGAATGATGTGGGAAGTTGTGTCATCTGCATAATTATGACAATTTGTGCAGTTTGGATAAAAAGGGGACCAGGGATCGATTCCTGAGGGATACCACTTGTAACTTTTTTCAAGTTTTACAATTGGAACAAAGACATGTGTGCCCTCCAGGTAGACCCTAAATCAGATAAGATCTGGGCCAGAGAGGCCGACCCACTTTTCCGACCTGTACTAACAGTGCCATTATTACTATGGGAGGCCATGTGGGAAACTGTAGAAGGTTATTTTATATGGTAGTCTTGGGTAGAGCTGAGGATGAGAAACTAGTGCTGAATCTGGGAGGGTGGAGACTTTGCCACATCAGTTGACTACACCAATCCCAAGGAGAACCTCCACAATACAGACCATGAACACAGTTAAAACTATTAGGCTGGTCACCAGAGTGCTAATCAGAGCCAGGCTGAGCCTTCTGGGGACCCTAAACAGAATCTAAAAAGACATGACAGAGTGTCTGGGCTGACTAGCGACCAAAAATGAAACCAGGGGAGATGTCCAGTTCACTGTAGGATTAACTGTAACTAGTCACATGAGAATTGCAGAACTAATTTTTAAGAGCCAAATATAAAACTGCATCTTGGTTGTTAAACTTGAAGCAGCGTTAAGAAATGTTGGGGCTGGACCCTTCAGGCCATTTAGGAAACATTGTTTATTTAGGAGTGTTTTAGAAAAGTGTTGATCCAGCTTTATAATAATTTTGAAGGATGTGACGTCAGTTTGTGATGCTCTTGAACTGTATTGTATTACACAGAGAAAACACAAAATAATAAAAACACCTGTCAGTATAATGCCATAAAATGTATCATTGCCACAAACACAAGGTTCCCACTCTTTTTAAGAAATCGTTTTCAAGGTAAATTTTTTAGGTATTCCAGGTTTTCCTGGTTGCACCTAATAAACTGGCAACTGGGTGTATGTGATGTCCCAGACGTGATATTTTTCAGTGAAAAATTAACAACTAATGGTTCATGACCCATAAATTGCCATAAAAACAGCTAACTGACCAAAGTCCTTAGTAAATTTAAATAAAAGTGATGTATGACTATGAATGCTTTCACTTTCATTCTGGCACTTGTATTTACTTACATTCACTATTATCTTTTGTGCCAAATCAACACCCATTCAAAGTGAGAATATTTGCTGAGTTGCCATAATTACCTTCAAACAGAGTGTATCATGTTCTGTCCTGAGGCAGGCATCTATTTTGTGACAGAGGAGAGCTGAGCCTGGTAGACGGTAGCTTGTGTTGTGTTTTTTCCGGGAAGGAGAGAGGGAGGAAGCAGATGTCTGTCCAATCAATGCCTGGCTCTAATCAATCTGGCTTCACTCACACAGGCAAAAACTGCCTGTGGAGCTGCCATATATAGACAGAGGAACAGTCACAAAGGCATAGACATGATGGCACACACACACACACAGCCATTTATACAGTAACAGACTTGTCAGAACACAGTCAGGCACACAAACACTAAAAGAAGTGCAAGTTCACCAACATGAAGAAAGGCTCAGCATCGTGTTCTCATGCAACGTCAATGATCTGCCATACTAGTCAATTTTTGTGATGATACAGTATGGTTTAGAACATCTCAGTCAACAATAAGCGTGTGCACTTTTTTGTGAACAAGTAATGTTCATTGTCAGAAGTGGACTACATTGTAATTATTTCCTTGGTGTATAAGTCTATGTATATAAATAACTGTATATATGGTTTTATATGTTATTATGTTAATTTGATATATAATTATATTTTTCTATCTATGAAGCATTAAGGACCTGCAAATGTTCATTGCGTTATATAGCCTTGTGTTCTATAATGATAATACATGTCTATGATTCGTTGAATCATGCATTAAACTCAAAACAAGTGATCAAAGTTTGACAAAGCAGACGGAATTTTTTTTTTGTCTTGCTTGGGGAAAACATTACATACCTTTTGAAACACTATCTATAGCCTGTTTCTTAACTGTTATTTTGTTGTAAATTCAGTATTGAAAGTAATGCACAGTTTCAGATATTTCAAGTAAGATCCATCTATTTATTTTATTCCTGTTGCATAATTTCTTAGACCACCGCCCTTCTGCGACATTATGTTGATGTCCCACAGAACCCATGATACATACACACAGAAAATTAAATGCATTCAGAATACAGATGTATATGTGAGCTGCAGTCAGTTGCATCTGTCGACTTGCTGCCTCAGAAAGCTTCCTCTCTGGGTGGATGGCAGTATTCCTCAATTACTCAGGAAATGTTTCACAAAAAAAGCAGCTCCCGATCCCTCGGCTTTGATGCAGCAAGACGAGACCTCTTGTGTACCTTTTCAAAAGCCTAGAGTTATACAACATCCATTTCCTTGCAAGCACACAGTCACTGCACGCTGGGATTTCCCCAGGAGATTTCCCAAAATGCCAGCATGAAATCTGCAACTGTTGAAATGGAGCTGTATAATTAGGCTACATTTCCAGGAAACAAACCCGCTTCCTGGGTTTTTGTTTTCATTTCAATGCCTGTTTGATTGCAGCGCACAGTGTATCTAGAATAACTTTGTGACTCTGTTAATTGCTTGAACCTATTGGGTCTTTGACAGAATACAAGGTACTTTAGAGTACAGTTAAGCTCTTTTATTGCCATGTCAACAAGATCGTTTCAGTGGCAGGGATTACACAGTGCGATGTTTAGGTGGAGCACAGAAGTCAAATAACATTAACAACGGATTAAGCAATCTATCAAGAATAACAAATGGCAACAACACCTACACACATGTCTGTGGCACGGCTTTACAGCAGCTTGTGGTTGTCATAAAGTCATGGTTTAATGACAGAGAAGAACAGCAGAGCTGAAATAAAAAGCTTAAGTATTTCAAAGGAAGGAATAATAAGACTGCTTTGGTAGTTTCTGTATTTCCTTGAATTTGAGGTTTTAGTTGATCAGTCATTGAGTTTTTGCCACCTGTTTTATCACGGTCAGTTTGACACAAAACTGCTTTTTTCCTCTGAAAAGTACAAAATATTTGTTTTTCAGTAGAACTGTGACATGTGCCTAAATACTCTTAGAACATATTCTTGTAAGTGTCATGTTTTTATTGAATATTGATTAAAGGAGTTCATGGTTTTATGCGAGAGGATCTTTCTTTCTCATCTGTTTTCAACTGAGCTTATCACTATCATCTTTAAAACATCTCAGAACGGACAGATATAATTTGGTTTTATCTATTTATTTTCTTGCTGTGTTTAGAAGAGCCTCAGGCTGTTGTTGGCCTACAAGGAATCAAAAGTGGTTTTACAGCATTTGTCACACTTTTACTTTGTAACCCTTAGTGCTACTAACTAAGTAACACTATCGTGGCTGCAGAGCCGGCGCAAA